AATTTAGTCAGTTTACACAGGTCACAAAAAATTATCAAAACATAGCACCCATATGTTAGATTACCTAAGAAAAACCCCAAAATAACTTAGACAAGGAGATTTTTTTTGGGCTTTAAAAATCATGGGTTGTTTTGGGGAAAAGGGGGTTAGTTTTGAAAAAGGGGCTTGCCATGTATGGGTCAGAAAGGCCCTTTCGGGCAGGGGTTCCCCCTTTTTCTTATTTTTTATAATAAACTTCTAAACGAGGAACCCCAAAGGGCATTTTGGGAGGAGTTTCGTCTAAGGTACCCAGATGTTAACACAAGAAAACACAGAAAACCCCAACATGAACGAGATACCGGGGACGGGAACGGAGCCAGGAAAAACATTATACCCCTTGGTATATATACATTTTACACTATGGAAATGAAATCCGTTTTTTCCCAGGGAAAATTTCCCATTGTAAACCCAATGGGCCCAAATATATTAGCTAAACCCTTTCCCCCCGGGCCCGGGGATTAAACCCCGGGGCGGTCTAGAGTCTAAAAAAACTCCAGCCCTGTCTTTAAACGTTTTCTTGAGTCATTCTAGCGTATTGAACATGGAGGTTAACGGGGTTTTCCATGGAGGTCGAAAACCTTTCTTTGGAAACTTTTTTTAAACCAGTCAAAATATTTTAATCACAAAAAATATAAAATTTTTATATAAAAAACAAACAACCCAATTTAGGAAGGGGAAGAAAGGGGATGGTGATCCCGGGAAGAGGGGAAGTTTTAGGGCAACGTTTCGCTCCGATTTGGACCTTGAGTGTGATTTTTTTAAATGGTCCAGGTGGGACCGAAACGTATCGTAAGCTTCTTTTTCCCTGTAGGTTTTTTTGTGTATTGTTCCAGTCACGGGATTGTGCCTTTTTTGGGGCTCTCTTTCTCCCCTCTTTTCTCCTAATTTTAATTTCGTGAGTTCAGACTTATGTTTTGCTATAGTAAATTTGCTCTCCGGGTTTGCCCCTTTTTTAAATTTTTTGTTTTTAGTGTGGGGGTGGGGTGTGTGTGTGTGTGTGTGTGTGTGTGTGTGGTGTGTGTGTGTGTGTGTGGTGTGTGTGTGTGTGGTGTGTGTGTGGTGTGTGAGTGTGTGTGTGTGGGTGTGTGTACTTACCATTTGTGGTTTCCCTGAGTCGAGGGCTCAGTTCCCGGCCCCCCCCCCTTTTTACGATCGCTACTAGGTTTCCCCTCTTTCCCCGCTCCATGAGTTTATCATAAACCCCGTCCCTTAAAAGGGTATGTATGGGTTCCCGCCCCACCTACCTACTTTTTCCCGGTTATTCCCCTGCCTGACAAATTTGTGACTGAAGAAATTTCTTCCTAACATCCCTTTACTCACGAAAAAAATTTTTTTTCCCCCGCTTCAATTGTGACTTTCCCTTTTTTCTTGTCCCCCCCTCTGGAACATCCTGTCTCTGTCCACTTTAAACCCATTCCTCGAATATTTTTTTATGGCGTTATCATGTCTCCCCTAATTTCCCCCTGTCCTCCAGGGTCGACAGGGCCCATTTACCTTTAAACCTTTTTTTTGTAAAGGAAAATTTTCCTTAGCTCTGGAATAGCCTTGTTGCAAACCCCTTTTCACTTTCTCTAATTTCTTGAGTGTGTGTGGGGTGGGGTGTGTGTTTTGGGTGGGGTGTGTGTGTGTGTTGTGTGTGTGTGGTGTGTTTTGTGTGTGTGTTTTATCTAAGGGCGTTACTCAGATTGTTCTTAAGGTTTTGAATATTAACTTTTTGGTATGTACTCAAGGGTGTAAGTTTTTCTCCAAAGTGGGGTTCACCTATAAAAGCGGTTAGGGAAAGCCTTAAATTCCCTCCACCCAAAAAAAAGTTAACGTAAAATTTTCCCGCGAAATACACGAAAGATATGCACCTCTTGTTGCCCTATAAGTTTTTGCCTCTTAATTTGCACTCTTTAAGGGGGGAAAAATTCCCCCTCGTAGAAAATCCACCCGTGTTTTTCGGGGGGGAGAAAGGGAATAAATTTAATTTTTGGAACGAGCTGAAAAAATTTCCCCAGAAATTTCGAAACGCCCCTGAAAAGGTTTAATTTTCCCTTTAGCCAAAATTTTTTTCACAGCATTGTTACCCTTTATGATGTCATGTGGCGCCCGTGGTAGGCCTACGAGTCACAACCGAAGGCCCTTTTGGGTTTGGGTCCCGGGAAAAGACTGGGGCGAGTACGTTGTAGACTGGATCTGATTACCTTTAAGTAAGTACTTGCCCTGGTGAACGTCTGTTTTGGGTGCAAAGGGTTTTTGGGACAGAAAGGCAAGGGAAACAGGAAAAAAAACTTTATTTCCTTTTCCCGGGGTTTTTCTTTTTTTACTAATTCCTTCAGGTAAACTTTTCTCCCCCTTCTTTAATGCAAAAGTGGGGTTTTAAAAAGAGAGATAAAGTCGATCTTAAGATAAGGAAGACAACCAAAGCTAGGTTAAAAAAGCAAAGATAAACAAAACCGGGTATTTGGGTTCTTTTTTT